CAGTGGGTTGCCATGGGCTACCGTATGTAGCCAGCAGCCAGCGTGAGCGGCCAGCAGCCGCAGTGAGCGGCTGTCCAGAAGCCGGCAACTGATCTGCCTCGCCCGGGAAGAGCGCAATGATAATACCAACATGGGCCAGTGAAATGACATCCTCCACAACTAGACTGAAGAACAAAAGGACAGCAATTTGTCTGTTCCCCCTCCCTGATTCCCCAACACTGTTCCCCTCCCCCAATTCCCCAATAAAATCTTTAAAAAGAAAATAAAAGTCCCCAATCTGGTGAAGGAAGAAGATATAGAAGTCCAGAAGCACAGAGTCCCAAACAAGAGGAACCCAAAGAGGCACACACCAAGACACATTGTTAAGTAAAATGCCAAAGGTTAAAGACAAAGAGAGAATCTTAAAAGCAGCAAGAAAAAAGCAATCAGTTACCTACAAAGGAGTTGCCATTAGACTGTCAACTGATTTCTCAACAGAAACTTTGCAGGCTAGAAGGAATTGGCATGAAATATTCAAAGTGATGAAAAGCAAGCAACTACAGCCAAAATACTCTACCCAGCAAAGCTATCAATTATAATCGAAGGACAGATAAAAAAGCTTCCCAGACAAAAAAAAGCTAAAGGAGTTCATCACCACCAAACCAGCATTATAAGAAATGTTAAGGGGACTCCTTTAAGAAGTAGGAAAAGGGCTGGCTGAGTGGCTCAGTTGGTTAAAAGTTGGCTTAAAAGCACAAGCTCTGAGCAACAGGGCTGCCGGTTCGATTCCCACATGGGCCAGTGATGCTGTGCCCGAGCTGAGCTGTCGCTGAGCTGCCAACAGGTGGCAGGATGGATCAGCTGGTGTAACAACAAGATTGCCTGTTCGATGGTGGGCTATGCCTACCCGCAACGAAGACTGAACTCGGCACCTTGAGCTTAGCTCCTGCCTGGATGGCTCAGTGGATAGAGCATGCGCTCTTAACAACAAGGCTGCTGGTTCGACTCCCGCATGGGATAGTGGCTATGCCCACCTGCAACTAAGATTGAACACAGCACCTTGAGCTTAGAAGCCATGATCTTCCAATGGGAAGCCAAATGGCAACTGGCGCCCTCCACAACGAAGACTGAAGAACAATAACTTGGCTGGTCTCCTTCCCCAATTCCCCAACACTGTTCCCCTCCCCCAATTCCCCAATAAAATCTTTTAAAAAAAAAAGTAGGAAAAAAAGATTAAAAATAGGAATAATAAAGTGGCAATAACTATATATCTATTACTTTCAATGTAAATAGATTAAATGCTCCAATCAAAAGATATAGGGTGGCTGAATGGATAAGAAAACAAGACTCTTGCATATGCTGTCTACAAGAGATTCATGTTAGATTGAAAGACACACACAGACTGAAAATAAAGGGATAGAAAAAGGTATTTCATGAAAATGGGAATGAGAAAAAAAAGCTGGTGTAGCAATAGTTACACCAGACATCATAGACTTTAAAACAAAGGCTATAACAAGAGACAAAGAAGAACCCAGCAATTCCACTTCTGGGTATTTATCCAAAGCAATTCAAAATAATACTTGAGGGGACATGTACATCCATATGTTCATTGCAGCCTTATTTACAATGGCCAAGATATAGATGCAACCTGGGTATCCATCAATGGATGAACAGATAAGGAAGAGATGGTACATATATACAATAGAATATTACTCTGCCATTAAAAAAAATGCAATTTTGCCATCTGTAACAATGGAGATGGACCATGAGGGTGTTAGTCTAAGTGAAATAAGACAGACAAAGACAAATACCATATGATTTCACTTACATGTGGTATCTAAGAAGCAAAATAAACAAGCAAATGAAACAGAAAGAAACTCAGATACAAAAAACATTTTGATGGTTGCTAGATGGGAGGAGGGTTGGGGGGAATGTGTGAAAAAGGGGGAGGGATTCATAAGTACAAATTGGTACTTATAAAATACTCATGGGGGGCTGGCCAAGTGGCGTGTTGGTTAAGAGCTGGCTTGGGACGCCAGCTCTGAGCAACAGGGCCCCAGTTCGGATCCCACACGGGGGTCAGTGACGCTGCCCTCGACAGCTAAGATGGTGAACAATAGCTCAACCTGGAGCTGGGCTGCCGTGAGTTGCCGGCAACAGCGTAGGCTGCAGCCACTGCTGCAGTGGGCTGCCATAAGCTACCATGTGTGGCTGGCAGCCAGCATGAGCGGCTGGCAGCCAGTGTGAGCTGTGAAGAGCCACTGTGAGCGGCCATCCAGAGGCCGGCGACCGATCTGCCTCACCCAGGAAGAGTGCAATGATAATGCCAACATGGGCCAGTGAAGCGACGTCCTCCACAACTAGACTGAAGAACAAAACGACAGCAACTTGTCTGTTCCCCTTCCCCCGATTCCCCAGTGCTGTTCCCCTCCCCCAATTCCCCAATAAAATCTTAAAAAAAAAAAATAGTCATGGGGATGTAAAGTATCATATAGGGAATATGGTTAAAAATATTGTAATAAACATGGTGTCAGACAGGTAGTAGATTTATCGAAGTGATCACTTCATGAGTTACATAAATGTCTAATAACTATTTTGTATACCTGAAACTAATATATTGTATGTCAACTATAATTAAAAAATAAAAAATTATTAAATGAAAAACCAATTCAGACAGCTCATGGAATTTCAGACTGCTAGATACAGACAGGAACAATGCTCAAAATCCCATTAGAGTTTGCACTCTGAGCATGCTGACAGTGGAAACTTGACACTACCATTAGAACCAGTGTACCTACTGCCTTGGGAAGTTGGATGCAATATTAACTGTCACAAAAACTGTTATTATTATCCTCTCTTTATAAATGAGGTGACTGAGGCACAAGAGGCTATATATCTTGCCCAAGATATGCCACTACCAAGCACAGAACTGTGATATAAATCTAGGTAGTGTGACTCCAAAACTTTCTCAACTAACTGTTACCCTGTGCTGCTACTCTTAGTACAAGCTAACTGGTCTGTCTTAGTTATTTTTTTACCCTCTTTATAGCATTGTAGCTAGTCATTATAGTCTTTTATCTTTGTCAAGAGTTGTTCTATGAAGGAATTGATTTGGATGACTTCATCAGGAAAGAATGAAGCATAGGTTGAGTAATAGATCAAGTGTTCTGGATTCAGCTTTGGTCTTGCTTCCAAATCTCTCTATTTCTCTTCATTGACACTTGATGATGTGAATAGTTCTACCAGGGCTTTCTAAAATATCATTAACTGTGTTTATACCTTAAAAACTTTTATCTGCTCCATTACTGTAGAGCACATAGTAATAGTAGGATTCTCTTTTGGTTGTTCTTCAAATTTCTCTTCTTCCAGAGATCGTCTTTTTGCTGCTTTTCTTTTTTCTTGTATTTCCTTCTTTTGCTTCATTTGGAAAAATTTCAGTGTCTTAAAAATCTCTCGGGAAAACTCATCTACATCAGTTTCCATGCTTTCCCCATTAAGGTCCAAAAACCCTCCATCCATCCACCTAAATTGAGAGAGAAAAAATTAAACTCAGAAACTTCTGGAGTTTGAAGGGGCTTTAGAGATTCTTTAGGCTAGGTCTCTCATTTTACAAAAGAAACAAGTGAGAGCAAGAGTAATTAAGTTTTTTTAAGTCACACCGATAGAGGTTATGGTAGAGAAACAAGATTAAAACCATCATTTCAGCTATGCTGCATGGCTAAAATATGCATCGGACTATAAATGGGTGACTAACAATATCCAAATAAAATGCAGATTTGACTCCATACTTCTAATTTATAGTGTGACCATGAGTCAGGTTAATTAATTGCATTAAAAAATAAATCAACTCTGAAAAACCCAAGTGATACTTTAGATACTATATTAGTAAGCTTAGGTAATACCCTAGAAATATTTGATGTTTCTCCTATATGCTACTGGGTTCTGTTTCAAATGAGCAGATAAGTCCTACTTTAAACACTTAACTGACAACACCCAAAAAATCAATATCCATTCAATTTAGAATCTTTTCACATCATTTGTTTAATTTTTATGCCATTACCAAAAATTACCGTTTTTCTGTTCGTTGCCACTTCAAAACTAAATTAAAAAACTTCTGAAAGGGCTCAATGGTAACTTTTAATTTATCCAGTTCAGGATATTTTGTCAATTCCCATTTGAAAAGTCCCTCTTCTTTATTAATAAACTGAACAGCTTCTTCAGATTCCTGAATACGTTTCTGTAGTTGTCTTACATCGGTGACATACTGAAAGCACATAATTTTTTATCTCAAAAAAATCCAAGTACTGTTATAAAAATAAGATTACATGATACTGCATTGGCTATGTCCTTGCATTTATATAACAACTGTAAATATCAACTTCACAACATTACTACAATAGAGAGCAAAAAAGTATGGTTATATCTTAGAAAGCTAAGTCACAAAAAAATCACATAAATAGTACCAGTTCCAGGCTTAAGAGTCAAGCCCCTGTTTGCCATAGTAAGCACATGTTTTTCTATATTTTAAAATGTATGTAAACATGCCCTACATGAGTCTGTGAGCTAGCCATAACTACTGTCTTATATATTTATCAGACCTGAGGCATGTGGTCCAGTTCTGCAAATTCTGTAAATTCTTCCATGCGGCGTGATTCTTTTTCTATTTCCAAGATTAGTTTCTCTCTCTTGACTATTAGCTCATTTTCTTTTTTATGTTTAGCATTCTCAATGAGCTTTTAAAAAGACAATGTAATCATGTTAATTATTTTGTTACAAAGGAGTTATCAAATCAGAAATCTGAATTTTTTTTATAGTAATAAAAACCATTAGAGAAAGTAAGAGTACAAAAATAAAACATTGACTGATACTAAAATGCAAAAACTAGTAAACCACACAAAAAATTTATCCTAGACCTCCAAAGTGACTGTAACAACTTTTATTTATTAATCAGATACTTTAACTATTTAAAAGATTCTGAGATAATAACAAAAGCTACCATTAATTGAGCACGTGCTATGCATCAAGAACTATTAAACACCTTACCTACATTACCACAGGTATTATTATTCTCATTTCAAAGATGAAAAAATTTAGGCTTATAAAGGTCAAGAGGCATGTCCAATATCATAAAATCATAAAAGTCAAAATTTGGATTAGAACTTTGGTTTATCTGACTTAAGTCATGCTTTAAACTACTACAACATTTTACTTCCAAATTTAGGAGAAACTGGTTTACATTAGGAAACTTTCAAAATCTAAACTAAATTAAGTATGATACAAAATCCTGATTCTGCTACTTATCTCCGTGATATTAGGCAAGTTATTTAATTTCTATGAGACTTATTTTTCTCATCTATAAAATGGGAATAATAAGACTACCTGGGATTTTTGTGTTAAATGATTTAATAAATGGAAAGCAATTAGTGCAGTTCTTAGTATTATTATTATTATCAACTTATATAATAGTTCTGGCTTCTTTAACTTTAGTCCCACTTCTTACCAGATCCTGTGAGTTAAGCCTAACAGCTTGTCCTAAACCTGCAGGGCCATAAATGTTGCTAGCCCCAAACTTATATTGACACATGAAGTTACTTTTTAAAGAGAGATGGCAAGTATGTATGAAAATTAAATAAACAGTGTGCTTAAAATGTCAATGCCGGAATATAAAATTCTTGCTTAAAAATACATTTACCTCATCATTTTCATCAAAGATGGGATTAATTTTCCAAGGCCACATAAGGACAGTTGAATTTAAAATTAAATCTTCTTGAGGAAACAGAAATACATCTAAAAAGTAACTCAGTTGGCGTTTGGATTCCTACAAAAGAAACTCCATATATAATACACCATATAGAAAATCTAAGGCAATATGAAACAGAGGACCAATAACAATTTCTAATACTCTTTCAAATTTCAATTTGACTCAGATTATTAACTGATATTTTATATCACCCAAATCACATGGGTATTTCAGTAGCTCTAGGATTTTTTATTTGCCTTCATACCACACAACTGCAAGCTTCTATACTTGAAATAAAGCTTTTTAAGTTTTTACTTGCAATTGATTTAACATAAAGGTACTCTTGATCCTCCTTGTATATGATTGAAAAAGGTAATCAACTATGCAGCTTTTGTTCAACAAGATTTTACTTTTGGATTTTAAAGGATTTTATATATTTTATTGTTATGTATTAATTTTTGAATCTTTGATGAAAAAATTTTAGCAGCTTTAATTTTGTTTTGCATCTACAATGACATTAGCACCTTTTTACCTACCGTTAATATACAGCAATTGTCCAGAAAGACTTTAGGGGTGAATAGCAAGGGAAAAAAGAATTGAAGTCCAATAGATTTACCTGAGTAGAGAAGTGAATATCTTTACCCCAACAGCTTTCATTGATCCAAATGCAATGCTGTAATTTTTAAGAACTGAAATAAGACTCAAAGGCTAATTTAAGGTTTTTGGTTTGAGATATAATATGATGTATAGGTATTATAAGTGCAAAATATGTATGTATTATATTGCATGTAGAGACATGACCATAACAAAAAATCACCCATGTAATTAAGTGTATTACTAAAGGAGAAAAAGCATTTGATCATCTCAATGCAAAAAAAGTATTTGATAAAATTCAACATTCATAATATTTTTTTTTAATATTTTTTATTTTTTATTGGGGAATTGGAGGACGGGAACAGCAATGGGGAATTGGGGGAAGGGGAACAGACAAGCTGCTGTCCTTTTGTTCTTCAGTCTAGTTGTGGAGGACGTCGCTTCACTGGCCCAAGTTGGCACCATCGTTGTGCTCTTCCCGGGCGAGGCAGATCAGTC